GACGCTGATCCAAAGCACTTTGGAGACCTCTTCAAAACCATCTTCACCCTCTTCCAGCTCTTCACGTTGGACGATTGGTCTCTCATCTACCTGACTTGCCGTGAGGTCGGTAAGTGAAGAGGAGGGCTACCTATAGATGGTGGCCATTCAACACAGGTTAGATGCCCATCAAAATAGTTCACCAACAAGAACATTGGTTGAGTTGTTGTAGTTTTTTTCGGGCTATATGACCATGTTCTAGATTCCTTCTCTCCTTGGTTATCTGTACTCACTTGCCGATCTTCCTTTTTCCCCTCCCAGGGTCCTGGTACATCGTCATCTTCTTAATCATCTACATCCTGGTGGAATACTTCCTGCTTCTCAAGTAAGTCTGGGCCCATCATTAGGCTTGGGCGATCCAGTTCGTTAATTTTGTAATTCGTTATTGATTCATATTTAAATTAGCTTACGATCCAATATCGAGCCATGCAGGAATAGTGTGAGGAGTAATTAAGCATCAAAACAATTTTTCCAATTTTCGTAATTATTTCGTAATTATTTTGTAATTATTTCGTAATTATTTCGTAATTATTTTCGTATGTCTGGTGCAAGTTTTACAATCTCGCATTTACCCCACTTCCGGTCCCTTTGCTCTGCTGCTTCCCTCCTCTTTCTTATATTATATTATTATAATACTATTATATTATAGTATTGTATATTATATTATATTATTATACTATATATTATATTACTATATTATTATTATATTATATTTGTATATTATAATATAATATAATATAAATAATATAATATATAATAATAATATAATATACAATAATATAATTTATATAATATAATATATATAATATAATATAATATACAATAATATAATATAATAATATAATAATAATATAATATAAATAATATAATATAATATAATATATAATAATAATATAATATAAATAATATAATATTATAATAATATAATATATATAATATAATATATATAATATAATAAATTATTATATTACATTATTAAAATAATATATGATTATAATAATATAATATAATATACAATAATATAATATAATAATATTATAATATAATATACAACAATATAATATAATAATATAATAATAATATAATAGAAGTTCCCCCTGTCCCATTTGGAGGTTTTCTTTAGCATATTGCGCAATCGCGTCCGCCATTAACGAATCAATTCGTAATTTACAAAATTTCGGAAATTTCGAAATTTCGAAATCTTAAATTTCGGAAGTCCTCAACATTTCGAAACGCTAGCGCACCCTAGAAACGAAACGAGTTTAGAACCAATTTTTTTGTTGATCGCCCAAGCCTACATCATTATAATTTCCTCTGAAACTGATGGGGAGATATTGGAAATATATCTATATAAATAAAAATGTAATGTTCGTTTGTGGAGTTAACAGAACTCAAAAACCACTGGGGGAATTGACACCAAATGTGGACACAATACAGCTACCAGGCCAATGTATGTCCTTCACTCAAAACAAACAAACAATGAAAACCAAAAGCAGAAAGGACTTCTAAACTGCATGCCCACAAAGAGACCCATGGCCATGCCCCCTCCTCCTCCTCGTAGGGAAACAGCCGGCCATTAAACCATGAGGAGGCAGGCACGCGTGCACGGCCACACACACAAGCGAGAGTGGACACCATGAGAGTGGAGGCTTGCCGCATGGAGCCCCTTCTCTTTCCCTGCTATGTCAGTAGGGCAGTCTCCCCCTCCTCCTCCTTTCCCTGTTGGAAGAGGAAGGGGCGGATGAGTGGCAGAGGTAGCAGTGGAGCCCCCAGGCAAGGAAGAAGGGGAGGAGGAGGAGGAGGAGGAGGCGAGGAAGGTCGTCAGTGCTTGAGTGAAGGACCTTCCTTCTCTCCCTCACTCCCTTCCCTTCTTTCCTCCCTTGCTTCCTTCGTCTTTCTTTCCTTTCCTTCCTTCCGTCTCCTTTCTTTCCTTCTTTCCCTCCTTCCCTTCCTTCCTGTCCCTCCTTCTTCTTCCTTCTTTCTTTCCTTTCCTCCCTCCCTCCCTTTTCCTTCCTTCTTTCCTTTTCTTCCTTCCTCCTTCCTCCCTTCCCTTCCTTCCCTCCTTCCTTCCTCTCTTTCCTCCTTCCTCCTTCTTTTCCTTCCTCTTCTTTCCCTCCTTCCCTCTCTCCCTTTCTTTTTCCTCCTCCCTCCCTTCCTTTTCCTTCCTTCCTTCCTTTTTTCTTCTTCTTTCCCTTCTTTCCTTCTTCCTTTCCTTCTTTCCTTCTTTCCTTTCCTTCCTTCCCTCCTTCCCTTCCTTCCTTCTCCTTCCTCCTTCCTTCCTTCTTCCTTCTTTCTTCCTTCTTTCTCCCTCCTTTCTTCCTTCTTCCTCTTCTTTTCTTCTCCTTCTCTTCCTTCCTTCCTTCCCCTCCTTCTTTTCCTTCCTTCACTTCTTTCCCTCCTTCCCTCCCTCCCTTCTTTTTCCTTCCTTCTTTCTTTTCCTTCCTTCCCTTCTTTCCTTTTCTTCCTTTTCCTTCCTTTCCTTCTTTCCTGTCCTTCCTTCCTTCCTTCCCCTCCTTCTTTTCTTCCTTCCTTCCTTCCTTCCTTCCTTCTTCCTTCATTCTCCTTCCTTTCCTTCCTTCCTGTCCCTTCTTCTTTCTTTTCCTTCATTCCCTTCTTTCCTTCCTTCCTTCCTTCCCCTCCTTCTTTTCCTTCCTTCACTTCTTTCCCTCCTTCCCTCCCTCCCTTTCTTTTTCCTTCCTTCCTGTCCCTCCTTCCTTCCTTCTTTCTATGTAAGATATAAATACAATATTAAATGGGACAGTCAAGAAGTAACGAGAGAAGGAGGGAAAGAGCGGAGGAAGGAAGGAAGGAAGGAAGGAAGGAAGGAAGGAAGGAAGGAAGGAAGAAAAGAAAGGAAGAGAAGCAATGAAGGAGAGAAGGAAATAAAAAAGTAAAAAGAAAAAGAGAGGGAAGGAAGGAAGGAAGGAAGGAGAGAAGGAGAGAAGGAACGAAAGGTAGGGAAGGAAAGAAGGAAGGAGAGAAGGAAGGATGTAACCAAAGAGCAAAGAAAGGGAGGAAAGAAACAGGTAGAGATGAAAGAAAGAAGAGAAATAGGGAAAGAAAAAGAGGAAAGGAAGGAAAGAGGGAAGGAAGTCGAGAAAGAGGGAGGGAAGGTTGGCCACAGCAACGCGTGGCGGCTAAAGCTAGTTGACACATACATGACAATTCATAACAGTAGCAAAATTACCCCACCAATGATAGAATTGAACCAAACTTGGCACACAGAACTCCCATGATCAGCAGATAAGACTGGAAGGGTTTGGTGGCCATTGACCTTGAGTTCTGGAGTTGTAGTTCACCTACATCTAGAGAGCACTGTAAACTCAAACAAGGATGAATCTGGATTAAACTTGGCATGGATTCTCAATATGACCAAATGTAAACACCAGCGGAGTTTGGGGAAAATTGACCTTGACGTTTGGGAGTTGTAGTTGCTGGAATTTATAGTTCCCCTACAATCAAAGAGCAATCTGAATTCCACCAACAATGGAATTGAACCAATCTTGGCACACAGGACTCCCATGACCAACAGAAAATACTGGAAGGGTTTGGTGGGCATTGACCTTGAGTTTTAGAGTTGTAGTTCACCTCCATCCAGAGAGCACTGTGGACTCAAACAAGGAAGGATCTGGACTAAACTTGGCATGGATATGCAATCTGCCAAAATGTAAACACCAGTCGAGTTTGGGTAAAACAAACCTCGACATTTGGGAGTTGTAGTTGCTGGGATTTATAGTTCTCCTACAATCAAAGAGCATTCTGAACTCCACCAACGATAGAATTGGGCCAAATTTGCGACACAGAACCTCCATCACCAACAGAAAATACTGAGGGTCTTGGGCGACCTCTCTGATACCCTGTTTCAACCCCCACCCCACCCCACCCCAGGTTGAGAAATGTTATAAACATAGCTGGAAGGAAATGTGATTCGCAATCATTCGATCAATTTCGATCAGATACTGTTGGGCAAACCTGGCTCATAGCCCCTTTCTTTTGCAGCCTGGTGATTGCGGTCCTGGTCGACAATTTCCAGATGGCCCTGGTGAAGCGCCATGAGCTCAAGAAGCAAAAGGTCAGCTCCCGAGGGTCAAAAGTCGGGTGCCAAGGGGGGACTTCCTGCTTTGTTTTTGCTGGGATCGCTTTATTTATTCATGCATTTCCCCCAGTTGGAGACTCAGCAGATGGTGTAAAAGTTATGCTGTTGGGGAGTTACAAAGGAGGAAGCAAGAGTTATGTATACATTCCATATGTCTCAACATAGAATCATACAAATTAGAAGGATCACCTAAGGCAATCGGGTCCAACCCCATTCTGTCAGGTAGGAAGGCACAATCAAAGCACTCCGGACACATGGTCATGTGCTATAAAACTTCCATGGAAGGAGTGATATCGAGCTGCTTTTAGCAGGGTCCCCTCAAGAGAGAAGGACCCGAGGACCGCGTCAAAAGGGCCCTGGATACCTTGGTGAGAGCAACCTCTGCTTCCACACGCCCTTCCTAAGAGCATGGGATCTCCAGTTTGGGTTATAATAAAGATCGAATATCGAAACAAACGTTATGGGGTGGGATGGGGTTCCCCTTATGAACTATGTCTAAAAGTGTATCGTATGAAATGTAATATGCTTCCCTGCCTTTCCTATTGACCTTTACCCCACAAAAAGGTGACCAGAAGTTGTTGCAATGCTCGGGGGGAAACTCTCTGCTTCCCCCGAAGCTCTTCCCTGATTGACTCATTGCATGAAACAATAACTGTTGATTCCCCCTTCCCGCCTTCTGAGCCTGTCTAGTGGGAAGAGGAAGTCAACAGAAACCTGGAAAAAAGAATTGATTAAATTGTCGAAGGCTTTCATGGCTGGAATCACTAGGTTCTTGTGGGTTTTTTCGGGCTATAGAGCCATGTTCTAGAGGCATTTCTCCTGACGTTTCGCCTGCATCTATGGCAAGCATCCTCAGAGGTTGTGAGGTCAGCAGGACATGCCGGATGACCAGTTCTGCTTTCCAATCCTTCTTGAGGACATTGACACAGATCTCGCCATTGGCGCCCACGTTGGGGTGGAAGATTTTGGTCAGAAAATAGCCCTTTGGGGGGCTAGCTGGGAAGTCTTTGCCGAGAATCAACTTCATGCGAAAGAGGCCACCGGAGTATGGAGTACCCTTTGGTCCTTCAATTGTGACTTGGACATCTGTGATGTCCTCCTCGTTGGGGAAGACCTTGATGCCCTCAGGCAGGTCTGAGGTGAGTGTTGAGACTTCGGCAAAGACTTCCCAGCTAGCCCCCCAAAGGGCTATTTTCTGACCAAAATCTTCCACCCCAACGTGGGCGCCAATGGCGAGATCTGTGTCAATGTCCTCAAGAAGGATTGGAAAGCAGAACTGGGCATCCGGCATGTCCTGCTGACCTCACAACCTCTGAGGATGCTTGCCATAGATGCAGGCGAAACGTCAGGAGAAATGCCTCTAGAACATGGCTCTATAGCCCGAAAAAACCCACAAGAACCTAATTGATTAAATTCACAAAGGCAGCGTTGATCCCTTTTGAGGTCCACTGTCTGACCCAATATTGTCTTTCCCCCAAAGCCATTTCAAACAGGAAGACTTTTGTTTACAAAGATCACACCTTGCCGGCCTGAGACAAAGGCTTGCTGGCAACTCCTAATCCCATCATTTCCCCCCTCCATTGTTCACGGCCGTACCGCCTCCTCTCATAGAATCATAGAATCAAAGAGTTGGAAGAGACCTCCTGGGCCATCCAGTCCAACCCCCTGCCAAGAAGCAGGAATATTGCATTCAAATCACCCCTGACAAATGGCCATCCAGCCTCTGCTTAAAAGCTTCCAACGAAGGAGCCTCCACCACACTCCGGGGCAGAGAGTTCCACTGCTGAACGGCTCTCACAGTCAGGAAGTTCTTCCTAATGTTCAGATGGAATCTCCTCTCTTGTAGTTTGAAGCCATTGTTCCGCGTCCTAGTCTCCAAGGAAGCAGAAAATAACTCCTCTCTCCTGATTTGTCCATCTTGCGAGGCGAGCGGAGGGCACTCATTGGCCCTCTAGAGGCGAAGAAACGCGCTGATTGGTCCAGAGCAGGGGCGGGCCGCCCAGCCTCCTCCCAGCTGTTCCAGCCTCAGCCAATCAGCGTGAAGCCGGCCGGCAAGGGGCGGGCGGGAATTTTGAAAGTTTTCCTTTGTATTTTTACTATAAATATGTCTGTATTCTTTGTACTGGCATGCTTGCAGTGGAATGATTCCTGCAATGCATCCGATATCAGCTGAATCGCAAATAAACTTCGGTCGCTAACTTCTTCCGCCTGGTGGGGTATTATTATCGTTTTCTTTTATTATGGATTGGCAATTTTCCTGGCCTCACCAAGGTATCCAGGGCCCTTTTGACGTGGTCCTCGGGTCCTTCTCTCTTGAGGGGACCCTGCTAAAAGCAGCTCGATATCAGGAGCACATTATCATAAACCTCCTCCTCATCAAATATTACTATAGATTTGAGTTAGAAAAGATCCCAAAGGCCATCCAGGCCAGCCCCCTTCTTGCAGGCAGCAAAACACCATCAAAGCGCTCCTAAAAGATGGCCATCCAGCCTCGGCTTAAATCCACCAGGCTCTCAGGCAGCATCTTCTACTATTGAACAGCTCTCACCATTAGGAAGTTCTTCCTAATGTGTGCAAAATATAAAGCTAAACAAAAAGATTGTCGTACACCAGAGCAGGAACACCTCTTACCTTAAACACCACACCAGCTTGGTAAAATCAGTAAGCAGTTTATTGAAGAATATATGTAAAATGAGCAAAACAGTAAAGTTCCAAAACAAAGGTTAGTCCATGAGCTTCAAGGCAAAACAAGATCCATAGGTATATAAATCCATGAAACAGGCACAAGAATCCATGAAAAATCCAATACACAAATCAGGAGCTTGGCAAAAATTTGGTACACGAAACTAAGAACACTTGAGAGCAAGACTGACATGAAGTGTGGGTCTACTTTTGGCTGATTAGATAGGATTGTCGTTGTCGTTGTGTGCTTTCAAGTCATTCCAGACCAGGCTGATTGCATATCTATGCCAAGTTTGATCCAGATCCATCCTTGTTTGAGTCCACAGTGCTCTCTGGATGGAGGTGAACTACAACTCTAAAACTCAAGGTCAATGCCCACCAAACCCTTCCAGTGAGGGCCGGGTAAATGACCTTGGAGGGCAATATTCGGTCCCCAGGCCTTAGTTTGAGGACCTCTGATCTACACTCTCATTAACTTAGAATCATAGAGTTGGAAGAGACCTCATGGGCCATCCAGTCCAACCCCATTCTGCCAAGAAGCAGGAATATTGCATTCAAAGCACCCCAGACAGATGGCCATCCAGCCTCTGTTTAAAAGCTTCCAAAGAAGGAGCCTCCACCACACTCCGGGGCAGAGAGTTCCACTGCTGAACGGCTCTCACAGTCAGGAAGTTCTTCCTCTTGTTCAGATGGAATCTCCTCTCTTGTAGTTTGAAGCCATTGTTCCGCGTCCTAGTCTCCAGGGAAGCAGAAAACAAGCTTGCTCCCTCCTCCCTGTGGCTTCCTCTCACATATTTATACATGGCTATCATATCTCCTCAGCCTTCTCTTCTTCAGGCTAAACATGCCCAGCTCCTTAAGCCGCTCCTCATAGGGCTTGTTCTCCAGACCCTTGATCATTTTAGTCGCCCTCCTCTGGACACATTCCAGCTTGTCAATATCTTTTGAATTGTGGTGCCCAGAATTGGACACAATATTCCAGATGTGGTCTAACCAAAGCAGAAAAGAGGGGTAGCATGACTTCCCTAGATCTAGACACTATGCTCCTATTGATGCAGGCCAAAATCCCATTGGCTTTTTTTGCCGCCACATCACATTGTTGGCTCATGTTTAACTTGTTGTCCACGAGGACTCCAAGATCTTTTTCACACGTACTGCTCTCGAGCCAGGCATCCCCCATTCTGTATCTTTGCATTTCGTTTTTTCTGCCAAAGTGGAGTATCTTGCATTTGTCCCTGTTGAACTTCATTTTGTTAGTTTTGGCATTCATCTCTCTAATCTGTCAAGATCGTTTTGAATCCTGCTCCTGTCCTCTGGAGTATTGGCTCTCCCTCCCAATTTGGTCGTCTGCAAACTTGATGATCCTGCCTTTTAGCCCTTCATCTAAGTCATTAATAAAGATGTTGAACAGGACCGGGCCTAGGACGGAACCCTCCTAATGGCACTCCACTCATCACCTCTTTCCAGGATGAAGAGGAGGAAACCTTGGGGAGAATCACCCTCTGGGTTCGTCCATTTAACCAATTCCAGATCCACCTCACCGTAGTTTTGCCTAGCCCACATTGGACTAGTTTCCTTGCCAGAAGGTCATGGGGGACCTTGTCGAAGAAGGCCTTCCTGAAATCCATCCACGCTACATTCACGGCATTCCCCGCATCTACCCAGCTTGTAACTCTATCAAAAAAAGAGATCAGATGAGTCTGGCATGACTTGTTTTTGATAAATCCATGTTGACTATTAGCAATGACCGCATTTGTTTCTAAGTGTTTGCAGACCACTTCCTTAACAATCTTTTCCAGAATCTTGCCTAATCCATGAGCTTCTAGGCAAATCAAGATCCATAGGTATAAAAATCCATGAAACAGGCACAAGAATCCATGAAACAAGGCAGCATGAAAAATCCAATACACAAATCAGGAGCTTGGCAAAAACTTGGTACATGAAACTGAGAGCACTTGAGAGCAAGACTGACATGAAATGCCAACGTGGCCCAACTGAGGCAACTCTTTCCCATGACTCAATATAAGCCTTTTTCAGATCCCAAATTTGAAAGGAAAGCGGTTAGTTGACTGGTTTGTATTGATTATCAATGCATCGTTGGAGCAAGGGATTTTTCCATCTAATTTGAAACAGGCTGTGGTTCGGCCACTCCTCAAAAAGGTCTCCCTTGACTCCACGGTAGGCCTGTTTGATCAAGAAAAAATTTGTTTCTAAACTCGTTTTGTAATTGGGGTGTTTTTTTGTTTCGATATTTAAAATAATTACAAAACTTTCCCAAAAAAAGTTTTGGTATTTACGAAATTTTGTAAATATTAACGAATTTTTAGAATTTTTTTTGTATTTTATTTAAGAATAATATTAAAATAATATTAAAAAATAATATTAAAAATAATATTAAAAAATAATATTAAAAAATATTTTAAAATGGAAAACGAAACCGCACAGGCCTACTATACAGACATAGCGGGTTTGAGTCAGACCCAGCTAACACCTCCCAACAAAGGATTCCCCTGAGCAGGAAGGAGCCAGACTTTGAAGCTACAAGGCCATTTAATCCCAATCAAGCTGTCCAAACTCCATTTGCCTAGTTTCCAACAGACCTCTGAGGATGCCTGCCATAGATGTGGGCAAAATGTCAGGAGAGAATGCTTCTGGAACATGGTCATACAGCCCAGAAAACTCACAGCAAGCCTGGATGCAGCCTTCAATTCTCAGGCGGGCCACGGAGGCAGAGCCGGCGCTGCAGGAATCCCCTCCCCGGCTCCTGCGCCCTCCGGGAGAGAAAGAGAAGGAAGGAAGGAAGGAAGGAAGAGAGAAGAAAGGTGGGAGTGAGGCTAGGCAGAGACGAGAGAAAGAGAGAAGGAGGGAAGGAGACAGAGAGAGAAGGAGAGGGAGGAGAGAAAGGGGGAACGCGAGAAAGAGAGATAGAAAGAGGGGAAAGGGAGAGTGTGTGAGAGAGAGAGAAAGAGGGAGGGAGTGAGAGAGAGAAGGGGGAGGAAGGAGGGACGCGAAAGAGAGAGAGAAAGAGGGGAAACGAGGAGTGTGTGAGAGAGAAAGGGGGAAAGAGAGAGAGAAGGAAGGAAGGAAGGAAGGAAGGAAGGAAGGAAGGAAAGGAAGGAGAAGGAAAGAAGGAAAGAAAAGGAGAGGAGGAAGCGAGAGAGAGAGGGGGGGAAAGGAGGGAGTGTGTGTGAGAGAGAAAGAGGGAGGGAGAGAGAGAAGGATGGAGTGAAAGAGAGAAGCGGGAGGAAGGAGGGAACGCGAGAGAGAGAGGGGGGAAAGGAGGGAGTGTGTGTGAGAGAGAAAGAGGGAGGGAGTGAGAGAGAAGGATGGAGTGAAAGAGAGAAGCGGGAGGAAGGAGGGAACGCGAGAGAGAGAGGGGGGAAAGGAGGGAGTGTGTGAGAGAGAAAGAGGGAGGGAGTGAGAGAGAAGGATGGAGTGAAAGAGAGAAGGGGGAGGAAGGAGGGACGCGAAAGAGAGAGAGAAAGAGGGGAAACGAGGGAGTGTGTGAGAGAGAAAGGGGGAAAGAGAGAGAGAAGGAAGGAAAGAAGGAAGGAAGGAAGGAAGGAAGGAAAGAAAGAAGAGAGAAGAAAGGAGGGAGTGAGGCCAGGC